GGTTATTTAACTGACTAAAGTTTCTATCATTACATTTGATTTTTCTTCTTCTAACTGAAAGTTTATTGTCTGGTGAACAGTGCATTACTGCCACCTACTGGTACGGATCCACATTATATTTCGTATTCTTTCCATTGTTTTCCATTTCCTCATCTTTAGACTGTAAAACATTATTTCTTGTTCTGCTAGATTTTGGCTTCAAATGACCAAAGATTTTTGTTTTAACATAAAATGTGACAGGCATGTTTCAAATTTACATTCTGGAGGAAAAAAGGTTTACATTTCTGTTTTATGCAATTATAATAAATATTTAATAAAATTCTTCAGTGGAAAAAAGCCTTATTCCAGATGGATGGTTCCTAAGCGCTCTGCACCATCTGAAGGAGCCGTGTGACCTGATCCGGGTCCGTGCTGTTTGTGTCGCACACGTGGAACCGGTGCTCACACTTGTCCAGAATCCACTCCAGAGGCGGGCCCTTCTCCTTAATGTGATCCTGCATGGTTTTTCTCCACAGAGCGTCTCCATAAGTGAACAGAACCACGGTGCTGCTCCAAATTCGCTCCCCCAGCAGCCTGACATACGTCTCCGCAGCCTTCCTGTCCTTCTCTCTGAAGGAGTCCACAGGAATGGCCAACAGGACCATGACTTTGCTCCCAGCAGCACAGAGCGAGGGGCTCTTCAGGATCTCCCTCTGCACCTCCTCAGGGTCGGCCTGAGCGAACAGACTCCACCCAGGCGTGTCCACCACCGTCACAGACCGCCCTGATACGTCTGCATGGCCTGCAGAGCAGCAGACCGTCTGTATGTCCGTCAGAAACTCCTCCCTGCCCAGGATCATGTTGCCTGCTGAGCTTTTCCCGGAGTTCCTGCGTCCCAGCAGGATGAGGGACAGCGCCGCACCAGAAGCGGCTGTGAATCCTGCAGAGACGAGACGCACTGAGGCTCTTCCACACGTTCATCCACTGACTGAAACAAGGTGCCTGCTTACCTGTCTGTCTTGGTCCCGCACCATCATACTCCTTCCCCATCAGCTCTGGCTCCTGCAGACTCCTGGTCCCCCCCAGGCTCAGATCTCCCAGCTGGATGTTCACCCTGTAGTATATCTTTGTGATAGTCCTCGAAGCTTCTGCGATCATCTGGACCTTCTTAATGAGCTGTCTGACCTGAAGCTGCGCCGTACTGCATAGACTGGACAGAACCTGGTAGCGGTTCTGACATCGCTCCAGCAGCCACTGCAGAGTCCCACCCTGTCGCCTCACGTACTCCTGGATCGACAGCGGTCCTGTGGGACAAACACTCACTGGATGAAAGACGTTCTTACCGTCCATAACGCTACAGGCGCTGCTCAGGAAACTAGAACGTCATCACGCTGCAATAGGGCTTTGGCGTCATGACATAATCACTTTGCGTGGCCGCCATCTTGATGGCCTCTTTTACCGTTGCTCAGACTACTGCCTATGACTAGCGGGTACTGTACTCCCTCTCAGCCGTGTTTTAATTTGATTAATTTCACCTTAACTTGGTTTCAACCATGGT